AATAGTCCACAGTTACTTTTCTGATCAGTAATGCCTGCTCAGCCTTTAAGTCATGCTTCCATATGTGCATGGGTTTCTGGCCTTTATTCTGTTCATTAATCAAGGGTGTTATCCTGGGTCGAATATTAAAATCTTAGTTACTTGCTAGCTGGTAAAGCAAATCCCCTTACCCTATTCTTCTCCAGGCTATTCTTGACCTTTATTATCCAACATAAATTTTAGAATTAGCTTGTCAAGTTCCACAAAAAAAGTTTGTTTGATCATTTTGGGGAAATTGACATCTTTAGGACAATGAGTCTCCCAATCCATGAGCATGGTATATCTCACCATTCACTTCTTATTTGTAATATTCTATGTATATATTTGTGTATTTTAATTAGATTTATTCCTAGTTACCTTACATATTTTTATTTATATGCCAGTTTTTAAAAAAGTACATTTATTTTTGTTACCACTGTCCAATTTCTCACTGCTCCACCCTGTTGATCACAGATAAATCTTAAACACAGTTTCACAGCGGTGCTGGTGGCTCACACTGCAATCTAGCTACTCAGGAGGGTTGAAGTTTGAAGCCAGCCTGGGTAAATAGTTCTTAAGACCTATCTTGGGAAAAAAAATCATAAAAATAGGGCTGATGGAGTGGCTTCAAGGTGTAGGCCCTGAGTTTCAACCCCAACATCAAGAACAAACAAAAAACCAAAACAAAACAAACACTGTTTCAGGAGCTGAGGATGTAGCTCAGTGGTAGAGCATGCCAGAGGCCCTGGGTTCAATCCCCAGCACTAAAAACCACCAAATGCAACCCCTACACTATTTTAATTATCAACTGTCCTATTCAAGATAGTGTGTGGGTCCATTGAGGCCTGGTGAGCCAAGTCAAAATGGTTCAAACTACCATTCTTCTTACTGTATCTCCATCTGTAGATGGCTTTTTTCTCTCACAAGCACTTGTACTTGACTTCATCCAGGCTCATCTCTCACTTATTTCTCTTTTTTTTTTTTGGAACTGGGGTTTGAAATCAGAGCCTACACCTTGAGTCACTCCACCAGGCCTTTTTTTTGTGAAGGGTGTTTTGAGATAGGTCTCATGAACTATTTGCCTGGGCTGGCTTCAAACCACAATCCTGATCTCTGCCTCCTGAGTAGGCTAGGATTACAGGGTGTGAGCCACTGGTACCCAGCTTCCTTTGTATCTTTATTCCTCCAATTCCTTCTCCAGGAAACCAAAACCCTCCTCTCAAATAATACCTTCCTTATGTGTAAGATATAGTCCAAAATTCCAACTTGTTCGGGAAGCCTGATAAGTCCATCACATAGAATGTTTCTCTTTGAACTTATTATGATCTCTTAATCTACAGCAAATCTTTGTTTTTGTTATTATTTATTTATTTTAGAGACAAGGTCTTGCTATGTAGTCTAGACTGGCCTCAAACTCATGTCCTCCTGCTTCAGCTCCTGAGTGCTAGCATTACAACCATATGCAAACCATACCTGGCAATTCTATATTTTTTGTTTAGTTAACAGTTGTATGGTGTCCTGGGAATGTAGTTTGGTGGTAGAGCACTTTTCTGGCATGTGTAAGGCCTTGGGTTCAGTCCTAGAACCAAAACAAAACAACAAACCCAGTTGCATGTATATGTCTTCGTCTTTCTTCATATTTTCTGACATTTTAAAATTGAGGATATCATGGTTGAGTGGATCAAAATGGGGGAACAAAGAAAGGATGGCTGCTACTATCCTGTACATTGCCAGTGGTGTGAATTAATTAGAAAAAAGGCACCCAGCCTTGCAAATGAGTACCCATTTTGGCGTGTAGATCAGGGGCTAGATTTTCAGCTTCCATTCACACCTTCAGCCAGTACCTTTTGCTCAGTGAACAGCCTCCACAACGGTATACAATGGTGCTACTAGTGGTAGGGTTAAGCATGATCCCTGTATCATTAAGTCCTCAGGGTCTAAAGGCCAACATGACACGTTTTACCACCTAGTGTCAGAACCACAGTTTACCCGCTGCTTCAAAGCCTGCCAAATATAAGAAGCTGCTGTTTGCACTCTGGCTTTCTTCCAACTTCCGTTTCTTGAACGCAAAAAAGTTTCCTGCAAGCTTGGTTGGAACATTACCTATGCTTCAAATGCCTCTGACTTTGAGGTTTGGTGCTAACCAGGGTTCCCCCTTCCAGTACCTCTCTCCTTATACTGCCTACGCCGTGGCTTCCCCTAACGAGAATATTGCTGGCAAGAACAGCCGTGTTAAAGCCCGCATTGGGCGAATTCCTGCCATAACTGTGTGGGGCTCGGGGCTGGGTGGGACGCATGCACAGGTGTCAGAGAGCCTAGCTGAGACCTACTTGGATGATACGAGGAAACGCCCTGGGAGCACTCAAGTACTCATCGCAGGCGTCCAACTATGGTGGACACGTCACAGATGACTTGGGATAGGCGCCTGCTCACCACCTACATCAAATGACTATTTCTGTGAACAAGCTCTGTCACTCCCCTCCTACCGGTAAGCCAGGGGGCCAAGAGTACACAAAATCAGAGGAGGTTAGCGGGAATAAGGGTGGGGGTGGGTGGGAAGTGTCTGCAGAGAAAATTTGGACGCATTGAGAGAAGACAGAGATGGGTTGGAGTTTGGGAGTTGGTTTACAAATGGGATCTGCACAGGGTTTGGGTCTTGGCCTGGCACTGAAGTCCCAAGTTTCCACTTATGGAACCTGAATGACAGCTTATGCTGTGGCTTCCCAGGTTGTCACGCACCTGGACAACGGTATTTCATCCCTAAAGATGGGGGCCTGGCCTCCTTAAAGGAATATATCAGCTTATTGCCCCAGCAATGGAACCCTCAGAGGCCCTTGGCCAGACCCCAATGCCGAGTGTAGCCTCCCAGATCACTGAGGCAACGCCCTCTTTGAGACTCTGTTCCCTTGCAACCTCAGATCACACCGCATTCGGGCTGGCAGACAGAGCCGGGAAGAGAAGTAAGATGGACAGACATCTGAGAAGGGGAAGTGTTGCAGGAAGGGCAGTCTGCACTTCAGAGCTCCTGTCTCTTCAGGTCTTGAGTTGGCTGCTGACCGTAAAGCAGAAGATCCCGAGAATGACCGATATGAGGGGACCCGCAAGCTCTGGCTCTTGACCGCCTCCCCCCCCTCAATGTGGTCTTCTGCAGGAAGATCCAGAGATATAATAAAGCTGATGGTTGACCATTCTGGTAAGATAAGAGGCAGGACTGGCGGCACACGGGAGGGGGGAAAAAGAAAAGAAAAGCCTTCACACCTGGTTGGGATGGCATCTCTAACACTCTACCCTCTTCATCCTGCTCAGGGTCCTCTCTGACAGACTTAGAGCAAAGGGCATCAAAGGCCTCATTGTCATGCAACAAGCCTGGAAGGATTTTCAATGTAATCTTTTGATGCCCTCGTTCCTCACTCTGGGGAAGGGCAAGAATTATACACTGTTGGTTGTACTCGTTTTGAACATATGAGCTTATCTCTCACTCCTGAGCCTCCTCATCTCCTGGTTCTAGGGAGGCATCTTGGATAAGCTGCAGAGGACCCGGGAATTCAAGGCAGACCCCAGACTTCAAAGGTTTGAAATTTAGCTCTGGGCCATCACGCAGTCCACTCCTGTAAAACTTACTAACTTTTGATTGTATTCAGGGCAAGTTGCTAACTTCTCCTAGGATTTTTCAAAGATTCCCAGTACTATGTTGATTTGCTTGTTGGGGTTCTGACCAGGGCTCAGGGCTAGCTCGTTGTGCCTGTTTGTTGTGGCCGGGGTTGGTTGCGCCTTGTACTGTTTTGTTATGCTCTGGCGTCGGCATCGGGTTGTTTGGCATACACCTCAATAAAAGTCTTTCATTAAATGGGTACGCTGGTTAACTATGGTCAAGCAACCTACATCCAAAAAATGAATCTGATGCTTTTGGGGGAAATTTGAACTTCTTTTTGCAAATACTGGGGATTTGAACTCAAGGTCTTCAATTTGGCAACACTCTGCACTTGAGCTATACCCGAGTTCTTTTTGCTTTTAGTTGTTTTTCATATAGAGTTCCCTCTCACTAATTTTGCCCGGATGGACCTTGAACATAGCCCTTCTGTTCTGTCCTTCCGAGTAGCTGGGATTACAGGATTGAACCTTTTTGAGTGCCTATGTGATGCTCAAAAAGTTTTTCAGAATTTTGAATTTTCAGATTAGATGCTGAAGTGGTTAAGGTCAGTAAATATTCCAAAATTCCCCAAAACTCTGTAAATCTGAAACATTTCTAGCCCCAAGCATTTAGATACAGATAATATAATACGATAAAGGAAGTAAGTAATAATAAAATATATTATTTATTTATTTATTTTATTTATTTATTTTATAATATTTATATATTTTTATGCCTTCCTTTTCCTGGGATGGTGTTTTGGAGAGCTTTGTCCAACTTGTAATTGGGAGAGCAGGGCTGTATGCCCTTAGTCCTTACTCATAGCTGCTCCAAGTGCTCAAAATATGGATCCTAATAAACATGTACTACTTTTCTTCATGGCATATCGTCAAAAAACCATTGGCTTCATGGCCCGGGATTAGCCATGCGTGTGGAGCAGTTGAACTATGGGCCAGTCGTGCTCGGCCTCCTGTGCTCTTCTGGTTGGCTGGCTCACCTTTCCTACTGGCTTCCTCACTGCTGTACTGCAGTCATCAGCACGCCAAAACAATGTGAGCAAGGAGGAAGGGGGGTGGGATACTGGAAATATATATTTTCTTCCTTTTTGGGTGCCTCCTTTATTGTCACCTTCAATTCCTAGATTCAGTGGACAGCCTCTCCTGGGAGTTTATCGTTTCCACTGTGGATGACAGCAACCTAGTGTATCCACCCAAGGTAGGAGTCAGATCAGCTTGGGCTTTGAACAAAAGATGGTCTGGTGGAGGAGGGTGGTGAGAGTAACTGAAAGAGGAGGGAGGACAGAGGAGTTAAATCAAGAGTGTTAGAGTCAAGACTTCTCCCATGCCTGTCCTCATTTCTCCCGAGGACGGTGTATGGGTCCGGGGATTATACTGGAGGGTGCTGGCTGGGACTGGAAGAACTCCTGCTTGGTGGAAGCAGAACCCATGCAGCTGGTCTGCTCCATGCCCACAATCCACTTCCGTCCTACAGAGAGCCGAAAGAAGAGCGCCAAGGGTGGGACAGCACTCTCTGACTGCCCCATCCCTTGTCTGGATCCTCACCTGATCCTGCTGTAGTCTTCACCTGATCCTGCCCTGTTCTCTCAGGGTCACCATGGGTCTGACTTCTTTTCCTCTCCTTTTCTCTAGGCATGTACTCCTGTCCCTGCTATTACTATCCCAACCGGGCAGGCAGTTCAGATCGAGCCTCCTTTGTTATCGGGATAGATCTCCGATCTGGTGCAGTGACATCCGATCACTGGATCAAGAGGGGCACTGCTCTACTCATGAGCCTGGACAACTAAGAGGCCTCCTCTTCTTTCCTGCTTGAAAGAGGGTCAGGGACTCTAGCGGCTAAGACTGATAATGCACTTCGGACTAAGACTGGATCTCACTCAGGCTTTGACCTTGGCTGAATCGAGCTGTGTAATATGGCCCTGGAGATATCTAGTGTAGTCATAAAAGTGGAAGAGTTGTACTGGAGCTCAGTGCCATAAAACACCGCGATCTTAAGCCCTATAAGTCTCTTCAATGGAATGGTGAAGATTTAGCGGGGGAGGAAGCTTGGGCCTTGTAGAGGGCAAGAGCTACTGGTGAGCTACAGCCGCAAGCGGAAAGGAGCAAGAGAAGTAGGGCTGCCTAGAGATGAAAGGAGGCGTGGCTTTGAGCCAGTAGGCAGGGCAGTGGGACCTAAAGAGTGTGTGACTAAACCTTGGGGCAGGGCTTGAGCACGAGGGGCGGGGCTTACCTTGGAAGAGCGCGGGATCCAAATGGATTAGGAGTTTGTCAGGCAAAGATCGGGGGTAGATCCTATACACTGTACCCTGTATCCCGCATCCCACATTCGGTATCCTAGCCGACACCAGAGCTGGGCGAGCCGGACCAGCTGAAGGCGGGGCGGAGCCGGAGAGAGGGACTTCAGCGGGAAAGGCGGGACCATGAGAAGGGGGCGGGGCTGGGGAAGCGGGGGTGCGGGTGTTTGTGTTGGAAAATCCAACTGCGCCACGGGGTGGAGCGGCCCCCCCAGCCCCGGCCTGGGAGAAGGGGGGGCCGCTCGACCCCCGGGAGACCTTGGGGAGCCTGAATACCTAGGACCCCCCCAGAAACCAGGTAACGGGGAGCTGCGAGGGCGTCTGGAAAGAGGGAAACCATCTCCACACAAGGGGGGGGGCGGGATGTCAGTCACAGGAGGGGTAAGGCTAGGGATGGACGTTCGGGTCTTGGGAAGGGCACTGGGAAGAAAACGGGCGCAGGACATCCGAGTACCCCAGAAGAGAACAGGGCAGGATTGGGGGAAGAACTGGGAGGTAGAGCTCTTGGGTTTCAGAGGTCAAGAGGGCCCTGAAAGGACTCCCAGTCCCCGTTGGTCTGGGATTTCCCTTCCCGACACTAGGGCGGGGCGCGGCGATCCTAATTGAAGGGCAGAGTTTACAGACAGGTCAATGTGATGGCCTGTTTAGGTCATACGTGGTCAGACTGGGGTGTGCCTCCACTCCCGGGACCACTTTGAGTCTCATTCCAGTTCTTCGCAACCGTGAGGTGTAAAACCTCAGCCTTCACCTTACCACCGGAGCCTCGAGAGCCCGGCGGTAGCCTTTCTCCCGTCCTACCGAGTCCCACCGCATGTGCCCTCACTCGGCCTCGCCTGCTCCTCGCTCCTCTCTCCATCCTTGGTCCTGTCCCCACTTTGTTGCCCTAGCCTTCGTCCGGCTCGGGCCCTTCTCCGGGCTGAACCTTTCCAGCGTAGCCACGAGATGGCGAGGATGAGACGCACACTCGGAGCTGAGGGGCCTGCGGGTGGGGAACGCGGCCGTAGAAGCCGCTGAAGCCCCCTGCTCAGGTCTGAGGGAAAGGTGGGCTGAGGCCCTCATTTGACTTCCTGTCATCCTGGCCCCCTCACAGGAAATCGTGGGCAGGAGGGTGAAAGGCAAAGGGTGGAGGAGGCGGCGAAGGCGGTCGCTACTTCTCCGGGCTGCGGTAAATAGTGGGGAGACGGACACGCGGGTTGGTTACTAAGCAACGCAGATTCGCTTCCAGTCAGCTGTGGCTTGTGACCGTGTCTTGGAGTAGGGCTTGGAGAGCGTGGGGAGCTGGGGAAACTGTGGGGAAGGTCGAGAGCAGGGCACCTAATTTCGGGGTACGAGCACCTTGAGAAAAAGCAGGGAAGGCGGTGAGCTGAGAAGCCAAATGGACTATGCAGTAGTCGGGAGGGAGGAGGGACCCAGACACCGCGCTCTGCTGGGCTCCAGGTCCCTCCTGGGGGTTGCTTACCCTGTTGCCAGAGTAACAAGCCTGCGAGGCTTGGGAGCCAGATTCCCGAACTCTCTCTGCCCAATCCGGTGTAGCGGACGTCACTGACGTCATGGCCCTGGCAACCAATGGGAAGCGGGTATTATAGGGCGACGGAAAGGCGGGGGCAGGAGGTGGAAGAAGGGAGGAGGTGGCTGTCCGGGACCCGCACGTGCACTCCCACACGCTAGCTCCCACCCTACCACCCTCCACCGCACGCGCCGGAGCATCCCCTTGCGCCTGCGCGGCGAGTCGGGCGCATCCCGTCATCCAGTCTGGAGTTAAGTGTTTGCAAGCTAGCCCGGTCCATGGCTGCATTCCCCAGCCCCTGGGGGCCCAGACGTCTGCGTTCATCTGCGCTCTTTCGCCTGCTCTCGGCTGTTAATACTCAGCCTCATTTGGGAGGGCCCGGCTACCTGTTTGCCATGGCCCCCCACGCTCCCAGGTGGGCTGGGCGGAGCTGTGATTTCTGGCTCCATAAGCTCAACGGCTGCCTTCCGAGGCTTTGACTTAGGTTGCTTCCCCGAGAGAAAGGGAGTGGGTACCAGCGCCTTTTCCCAAGCTTTCAGTTGCCCGGACCCAGCTGCAGTTGGTGGGGGAAGGGCATTGCAACGAAGCCCCAGACGACCCAGATGGGTCGTCACGTCCATTCTCTGCGTTAATTCCTGCTCTTTGATATGCGCACAAACCCTGCCCATCCCTAATGTTTCTTCCTCACTCGCCCTAGTGTTCTTTGCAGCTCCCTTGACTCCTTTCAGGCCGCCTTGTCCCGGTCTCCGCTCGTCCTTCCCGGCTTCTTCGGGTTATATAACTCTTCCTCTCAGCGTGTCCTGATTTCAACTCTACAGACTCCGCCCTGGAACAGCGCGGGAGGGGCGGGGGAGTTGGGGACCCAGACAGATTACGGTTGGCGGCCGGCTAGGGCAGAGGGGATCCCGTGCAGATGGGAGACGGAGCCCCCGAGAGACCCGGTAGCCCATCCCCCGTCTCCCGCCCCCACCAGAGATAACGCCCAGGAAAGAGAAGGCACAGTATCTCCGAAGGGCGTGTCGGGAGTCCTGTCAGAAATGTGGGTTGGGAGGTCAGGGCTGAAGGCAGAGAGGAAGGGGCAGATGAGAAGCCTGAGCCCCTAGGACTGAAGTCCTGCTGAGGCTAAAAGAGGAAAAGGCAGTACACCTGGGTTTCCTCCTTCGTCTCGTTTTTTGGCTCCCAGAATTCCTAAGGCTATTTCTCATGAAACTTAGCCAGCGGCCCCCTCTGCCCCCATAGGAGTCAAAGGTCTGTGTTAGAGGTGGCCTGGGGTGATGTCACCAGTGCACGTGCCCCGGGATGGTTGCCAGGCAATAAGGCCTCCTCCCTCTTCCATTTCCCTCCCATCTCTGCCCCGAGTCCAGTTCCAGTCCCGTGCCATCTCTTTCCCGTCTCCCTTTCCTTGGCCTTAGCATCCTGCAGGTGGGAAACCCGGCCTGGAGTTTTGTGAAGGGGGGGAGGGGTACGGGTGTGGTGTAGCTGACTTTGCCCCTTTGCTGGGGTGTGAAAATCATTTTTCCTTAGATTGGCACAGAAGAGCTTCCCCTCCAAGCCCTCCCCTCCACCCTTGGAAGAGTTTTCTGGAAGTCTTTTTTACTTTCCCACCTGCTGCTTGGCCTAGTGTCATATGCCCCTTCTCTGTCTTGAGTTGAAGTGGGAGTGGCTCCAAGACAGCTAGCTGCCCCCCCCCAAGAGAAGAGTTGTGGGGGGAATACACACGAGTTCATCCCTGATGTCACCTTAACCAGTGGCATACTTTCCAAACTGAGAGAAAGGGTCAGTAAAACAGTATTAGACTGAAAAGTCAAGGTCTTTATTCTGTGTAGGTAGGTGGATCTGGCATTGTCCACTTGGGGGAAGAGAGACTCAGTGATAGCTATGCTATCCTTTATTGAGTTGGTGATGGTATTGGGGTCTGCTTTCATGTGCCTTAGAGCTTGAGCTGTCAGATCAAACCTGGCTTCTAATCACACCTCTGTCACTTAGTGACTGCTGGACTTGGAAAGGTCACAACTTCCTGAGAGCCTCATATCCTCAATCTCCAAAATTTAAATATCAGTACCTACCTGCAATGCAGATGGGAGGGGAAAAGTGAAATAATTTATGCAAAGTACTTAGCACAGTACTGGGCACAGAATGAACATTCGAATGAATGAGTGTTGTGAAATGCTTATTATGAGGTGATATTAGTTATTTTTATTATAGTTAGTGGGCCTGCTTCAAACTAGCCATGACCTTAGGAGTTGGTTAGGAAGGAGTGGAGAGTTTGTGTTAATTTGGGGGGAGGGGATTAGCTTGGACTGCTTTATGCACTTTATTTGATGAAGGCTTTAGTCAGATTTGTATTGCTCTCTTTAGGATTGTTTTTCCCCTCTTGGAGAAGAAATAGCTAAGTCTATTCATTTGGCTGTGAACATAATTGTGTTGTGGTTCATGATTTTGAAGCAAGACCCCAGTACCCTCCCATGTTGTTCTCTGGAGACTTTCATTTTGCAAAGGGACTGAAGAGTTTCCCTAGCAGGGACAGGGCTAGGCTAAAGGGTGTGTAAAAGGTTGGGGTGGGTGGGTGGAGAGAGACGGGGGTTAGGGGAGCGGGTAGTTAAAGGAAGAGACCGGAAGGGAGGAGGAGGGAGCCTGCTGGTGGGGAGGGAGGAGGGGAGGAGGAGGTGGTGGTGGTGGTGGTGTTGGTGGTGGTGGTGGTGTTGGTGGTGGAGGAGGAGGAGGAGGAGGAGGAGGAGGAGGAGGAGGAGGAGAAGAAGGGAGGGAGGGGGTTGGGGAGAGCCTGCTACAGTTCTTTGTTTGACTCCGGGACTCAGGGACGGGGAGGAGGAGGGAGGGAGGCAGAGGCTGCGAGCGCCGGGGCAGGCCCAGGAGGCAGAGGAGGGACCGTCTCCCCCGCCCCCCCCAGCCCCCACTCCCCCCCCTGCTGCTTCCCCCCTCCCTACCCGGACTCTGGGGGCACCGCCGGGGGACGGACACCCAGCAGGTAACCCTGGCCTGACTCGCCCTCCCCGCTCTGATTTTCCTCCATACCCTCCCGGATGACCCCTTTCCGCCTCCCCGATTTCCCCGGCCTTGCCTCTTTCCCTAGCCCTCCTGTTCCATCTCCCCCAGTTGGGCTTGTCGCCCGCTGGCCGCGCCATCAGCCGTCTCCTGCAGCCTGACTCCTTTCCTCTCGCCCCACAGCCTGTGCGCCCCAGGTCTGCCCGAGGCACCTTTCGGGGCTCTGCCTTGCTGTTTCTCCAGGATCTTCCTTCCCCTTCGAACTGTCCCCTGGGGTTCTGAGGGAGGAGGGTGTCCCCGTCCTTTTCACGCTCCCCCCAGCTCCCCGCCCCCCATCTCTGGCCCCTTTTCTCCTTCTAGCAGTCTCTAGGGGTGGGGAGAGAACCGGAATTTGGGGGGCCCTCTGGAGGGGCAGAAGGCTGTGTTGCTTGGGAAAAGGGGTTGTGGGTGTGGGTGGGGAGGGGGTGAAAAGAGGGTGGGGGTCGTAGGAGACCTGGCTGCCTCTCTGTTGTCCCTTTAAATGGCCCTCACATTTCTGGGGACTCGTGGGGGGGGCAAGCTGCCTGTTGGGGAGTGGGGGGCTGGGCCCTTGGTTCGTCCACACAATCCAGGGTGGTAATGATTTAAAGGGACAGCCTCGGTGTGGCTGCTGCCACCCTACGCTGGCAGGAGGGGGAGCCGGCAGGCTGTGTCTGAGGAGGCTTGGCTGGTGAGTAGGGCATTTGAGGCTGAGTCTGTTGCCAGGCCTGCAGGTCTGGGACAGTGCTGCAGCTGGGAAGGTGCCAGGAGTGATGACAGTGGGAGCACTCATTCTGGGCTTTCCCCAGGCTCCCACCTTTGGGTCCATCGACTTGTTAGCCAAGAATTTTTGAGTCCAAACTACAGGAGTGTGTTGGCTACCAGGTGGGGGCTACCAATAGATCTGCAGGTCAACAGCCTGCTCTGGGCACTTTGAATCTGGCCCTTCAGCTTCCCCTTTTGTTGTTTGGTTCTGTGCACAAGAAAGCCCCAGCCCCTCCCCCTAGATCCCCCCCTCCGGTCCACATTCCCCCCCCTACACACACACCCACCCCAGCTGTTGGACAGATGAATTACAGCCTTCTGCTTGGGGCCAGGGCTGCTGAGGGATTAAAGCTATGGGGTTGGCCCTTTAATGGCTATCGGCCCCTCCCCCACTCTGGTGTCCAGATACCCCTCACACACCCCTCTGATCCCCCTTGGCTGCGCACTCCCTTCTCTCTAGGCTAGACACTCCCCAGCACCCTCTCCCCCAACTCAGCCACAAACACAAATGCTATCAACTGCATTACTCTCCCTGGTACCACATTCTTTGAGCTTTTCTGTCCTGGAGGTTTCAGTCTCAAGCACCTTTCTCGGCAGAACAGCCTTGCCTGCTTTGCTTTCCCAGCCTGCAGCTGACCACTACCCTGATCTGGTGAGGGGGCCTTGCTTGGGTCAGAAATAACACCTCCCTGGGGGCAGTGTCATCAGCAGCCACAGAAGCTTGCAGCACATTGCATCATGGAGGCTGGGGGCCAGAGGCCTGAGTCTCTGGAGCAGGGCGAAAGATGGGGGCTGAAAGACCAGGGAATGGAGAGAGTAGTTTGTGAGCCCAAGGGTCTGGGTCTGTCGGGACTGAGAACTGGGAACGGGGAGAGCACGGAACTGGGCCCTGAGGAGTTAGTCTGAAGTGAGGTCTCACTGAGTTTCACTGAGGTCTGACCCCTGAATGGACTTCTGATTCTTGGTCCTGGACTAAGTTAACGTACCTAGCTCTTTGTCTCTGAGGGTTGGGAGGAAAGGGAATGAGCCTCTGTTACCTACTTGGGCCACACAGAGGAAGGAGGTGATGGGGAAACAGGATATAGCCTTGCAGGGTGGCACTGAGGGGGTTTGCAGCAGAGGCCATTTCCAGGCTCAGGCCCAGAGTAATAGCTCTTGTAGAGGAGGAAGCCTCCTCCCTGTTGGGCCCGTTCATCTAGTCTGGCCACCTGTGCTGCTCGCTAGGACCTGCTTTCACCCGCCTAGGGGAAGGGGAGGGGGCAGAGTCCAAAGGGTGGGGTTGACTGGTGTCTTGATAAGGTTGGGGAGGAACTGCTGGGTTGGTGGTGGCAGAGCTAAAGGCCTAAGGTCTGCATGTCCTGGGGCCAGAACTGAGGCTGGCTTGGGTGCAGATGTCAGGGGTTCCTGGGGCTACTCTGGGGCTAGGGAGTCTCAGCAGGAGGGTCCTGCCAGAAGAGGGATCTTAAGCTGGTTTCCATTGTAGACTTATTCAGGTCCCACAGCATGCCCTTCTTACCATCTGGTTCAGGCTGCCTCCCGAGGGAAAGGTTGGAGGACCACTTTGGGAATGGCTTGTTGTGGTTGCCATGGAAACTGATTCTCCCATCTATCTGACCACTAGAGCCAGGTCTCCTCTCAGTAAGGAGGCGGGAGTACAGGGAGATCCTCCAGCCTGGGAGACCCCACCTCTAACTAACTTTTTTCTTTTAGGTTCCTCCATGCACCATGCCAGCCCCTTAGAACAGTGGCACTACTCACTCACCCCATCATGGTCTGCAGAACCCCACTGCTGGGGCACTGGTTCCAATGAGACGGGGCACACCAAACTCCCATCTGGTAAGTCTGACACCCCTCAGTGCCCCTCTCCCCCAAAGTCCAACTCTACCCTATGCTTGAACATGCTTGGTATGATCTGAATCATGCCCACTCCTCAGAATGGTCCAGTCCAACTCTAAGCTTCCTCCCCACCATGAGGTACTTGAGTGGTTTAGCCCTCTTGGTTTATGGAGCTCCCCTCTATCTCCTATGAATGGTTCAGCCCTGTACTTCACCAGCTTCTCTACTACCACCAAAAAATCATCTTCCCCTCAGTGTTACAACTCAGTTGCTGATTGAAGAAACCTGGTGTTTGCAAGCTAAAAGTAGATGTGATACCCTAGGAAGGGGGAGCACTTTCCTTCCATAACCGAATAGCTTGGCTTATGGTGATTGGAAATTGATGTGGGGAGATACTGGAGATCATTACCACAACAGCTTGCTGTTGTCATGGCAACCTTAGCATCTCACCTTTACTCCCAGATACCTTTCTCTCCTTGATGCACTATAGCTTTTGCTCTCCACATCCAAAGTCTGACTCCTCTTCCTCCCTCATTCTTATGCCAGTTCTCTGCCTGAGGCTCCACTGCATTCACCTTTCCTCCATAGAAGAAAAAGATCTTCCCTAACCCAGGGACTTGAGTTCTCTGAATGTGTGTCTCTTTTCCCCATTACTCACTAAGTTTTTTGAGTAGGACTATTTTCTATGTATTTCTCATTGTTTGGTGTGATGGTTTGCACATTGGGGTGGCTCTGTGGATTTGTATCAAATGAATGTGTTAACTGAATGAGCTTCATTGCCAAAAAACCTACAGCTTCTGAGATCTGCTGTATAGTCTCCTACTCACTCCTTTTCTAGAGGACATGAGACATTTGGCATGGTGACAGAGGGTAGAGCTGACAGGAAGGCTGGCCTAGGAGATGGCCTGTGAGGATAAAACTGAGGGAGAATAGGACAGAGGTGGTAAAGAAGAGTGGTAGGAATGCAGCTGTGGAAACAAGTCCAGTTGTTCCACTCAGCTTGCAGAATGCCCTTGGTTGAGTTACCTAACCTCTGAGCCTCAATTTCCTCATCTGCAAAATGGGGTAAACCTCCTATGTCAGGTTTTGGGTTAGAGTGAAAAGGAAAAAAAAAAGCATGTAAAATGCTTAAGGGTACCTGGTATCTAGTAAGTTCACTAAATGCTAGCAATTAATTGTCATAATGAGAACTGCAGGGAGCTGTGAGGATAAGCAAGGATATTGAAGAATGGAACAAGAACTTGATTGAAGGCAGACAGATCCTCAGATAATTGACGAAACAGAAGGATCACTGATTTAGCAAGACTTCGGGATTTAGGGGAACGGGGCGAGGAGTCAGTGGGGTCAGTCTGCTCCAGGATTTCCCTGACTGTTCAGGAACATGAAAGGAAACAGAAGGGCATGTGCAGAGACACACGTGATCACCCCAGTGATGCAGAGGCAGACCCAGACAAAAGACAGAGAAAGGAGCCAGGCAGACATACAGACAGACCCCGTGGAGTCATGTAGACAGGGATAATGACAGGAACGCGTCAGACACAGGCACTGAGACAAGATGAGCAGATAGGCAGGTGCACACGGAGACAGACACCGGGACCCACACACAGCAGACCTTGTCAGACAGACTGCTGAACACAGCGCCCAGTCAGAAGCAGACACAAGGCCCACAGTGACACATAGCGGGCCGGGGCCAGCACTGTCACTCCTCAGTGGGGGGCAGGGAGGGGCAGGCAGCGGGGGAAGGCTGGGGAAGGGAATCCCGGGCGGGCGGCCTGCCCGAGAGGCTGAGTCACAGCGGAGCCTCAGCCGGCGGCCCTCCCTCCGCCTCCCCCTCTCCCAGGTAAGAAGCGAGCCTGTAACCCCTCGCTTTCACCAGGCAGAATTGAAGACCGGCAGGAAGCGGGTGGTGGCTTGCGGGGCAGTGCATAGTGCAAGCTAACTGTCTGCTCAGTAAAACCCCATTTGTAGGGTCTGGTCTTTGCCCGTCCAGTGTCTGTGTGTGCACAGCAGGCCCCTTACCACGCGTCCTGCGTGGCTGGGCGCTGCGCGGAGGAGTTTCTCAGCCTTAAGTCCAGAGAGAGTTAAGTGGGTGTGATTGATATAGTGGTTCTCTCTAGGGGCTTAAGTGTGTGTATGGGGTGGGGAGGGGGTCGGTTAAAGTCCCGGAGTCCAGAGCCCGGATGAAGGGGGCGGAGTTGGGCTTTGCCGGGAGTGCCCGGATGGAGTAGGCGTGGTCTCGGTAAGAGCAGAATTAACCCTTACCGAGTACCTGGCTCTCGAGATTGTGGATCGGTTTGGGAAAGGCTGGAATGTCTGCTCCAGAAGTGTGTCGCCCTCCCAGCCTGGCTCTGGCCGCGTACGTCTACCTCCCGTTTGTCTTCGAGGAGTCTGTGTGTGTCTGTCTTTGTGCCTGTCCGTGGTTCTTCCCTCTCCTTGGTTAGTATGGACACCGGGAGTTGGGGAGGGCTATTCCTGCCCCAGAGCGAGAGTGGAGGTGAGAGTGGAGTGCGAGCGGGCCCCTGGAGGCGGCTGAGGAACAGGTGTGAGTGCGGCAGCGGGGCTGCCCCGCGCGGGGTGGGGCCGTCGTGGGGGAGATGAGAGGGGAAATTCCACGGGACCAGTGGTGAGCAGTGTGTGGGTTGAGGAGTTGTGTCTGCCTCTGACTGTGTATCTATGTGAGTTGAGGGAGGCGGGGGCTGAGTCAGTGGGAATAAGGGAGGTTTTCTGGGTGACTCATTCACCCCCCCCTCCAAGCCTGAATCAGACCCTGAGGAAGTCGCCTTGTTCGTGGAGCGGGTGGGGAATCAGCGCCTGACTTGAACCTTGGTGCGGGCGAGGATCCGAGGTTGTTGGCGAGAGTGTTTAGTGTACAGGAAGTTTTGTCCTTGAGCGCTCTGTATTACCGGGTCCCGGTGTGTGTTTGTGTGGGGAGGTTGCGGATAAAGGTTGAAGATCAGAGGGCTGGAGGGACGGAACTCGCTAGTTTAGGGAAAGCTGAGTCAGTTCCCCGTGGGAAAGGGGAAGTGGCAGAGGGGAAGTGTCATCATCACAGAAGGGAAGCTGCATTTCCTGGTAACCGGCAGCGCCCTGGGCTCGCTTCCCTACCAGGGATTTGCTTCTCTGATTTGGTACCGTGTGACCCTGTTTGTCCAAGTCTGGTCGCTGGGTCCTCGCAGGGTTCGGCCGGGACAGCCAAACCTGAGCTCTATTTGACCACAGTTAAGCGCCGTACTACTTGTCCCAGGGCTTGGCAACTGACAGAAAGATTGGTGGGGAGAGTTCTGACAGTTCTCCATGTGAACTGCGGTGGGGTCTGTAGGGCGCTAGTGCTTACCAGCTCTCGTGTGGGAGTGGCATGCCGGGACCTGTAAGGTCTAAGCGCTTCCATACAAACAGACGACTTACCCCTGCGGGAAGGGGGATTATTTTCAACAGAAACCCTTCTGCCCTTGTGGGCTGAGTGGAAATTTCCCCACAGCGCAGACTTCTCGGCGACGGCGAACTTTCCAGCCGCCCCCAGCCCCTCGCGGCTCTCTCCCCCAGCTTCCTGCCCCGCGCTTGCTCCAGCTGGAGCTATGGCCCCGCCCCCGCGGCTTTGTACCCGGCACTCGTCTCTCACTGCTCTTTGTACTCAAGACTCAATGGACCGATCCTGGGATCGGAGCCCTACCTGCGGGGACCAGGGGTAGGCGTGGGACACAGCTCCTGATCTCAGGGAGGCGAGCAGGGAGCGCTGGGGCTAAAGGGAAGGTGCCTAAGGATAGGGGGTCGTTATGTCCGCTGTGGATCTAGTCAGCCCAGACTGGAAAGGGGGTGGGGTCGTGAAGGAGGAAGTGAAACGGATTCTGGGTTCTTTAAGGGAGTAGGCGGCGAGAGTGGGACAAGGGTGATGTCACTGCCTGTCGGGCCCCGCCCTCCTCCCTCCCGAAGGACCCCCCCCCCACGCACACACTTACACACGCTGCTTCCGCTGCGCAAGTAGCCACGTCACGGGCAACCCCCGAAATCCCCCCTCCCCTGGGGGGCGGGGGCCACGTGGGCCGTGGGGAACCGCGTGGCCCTGGCAGGAAAAGGGCAGAGAGGATACAGGAGCCACGCGAGAGGGGCCACTCAGGACCACGGTGCGCAACTTCTCAGAAGTTGGGGAACTGGGTGGGGGGACTGGTTTAGAGGGTCGGTAGGTATTGAAGATCCAGAGAGCCAGGGGAAAGTGGAAGAAGTAGAGGAATAACCTAATGGGGTATGAAGCTGGGGTATGAAGCTGGGGACTTGACGGTGCTTTGGAACCGGTAAGGTGTTGGGGGGTGGATCGCTCTGGTAGTGGGGATAGGTTTGGGTGCGGGTTTGAGTGCTGTAGTTGGGTACAACTAAGCAGTTCTAAGGGGGCTCGGGGTGGGAAGGTCAGTCACTAGGTGAGGTGAAGTGAGGAAGGGGAGCGATGTATTCGCCTGCGTCCATCGGTCCCTGAATGGGTTGGACTACTCGAGCGGTATGATTGGGATCACGGGCGGATCTGTAGATGTGTGAGGCTTCCCCACAGGCCGGCCGAGTATATGATTCATCGCCCTGGCCCACGGGTCTGGCCTGGCAGGCCTTGTTTGCTGCTCTTACCCTGCTGGCCAGGAGTCAGATCCGAGATGGGGACCTTAGGTGGGAGCTGCGGGGTCACAATGGGGTCACCCCGGGGCGAGCCCGTCTGACCGGCTCCGCAGCCCCTCCTCCCTAGGTCGCTGCCTGCCAGGGCTAACCTTGCTGCTATTGGTTTTGGCCAGGCTGTTACTGAGGCGGAGACACGGGTGATGATTGGCTTTCTGGGGAGAGAAGTAGTCCTGTGATTGGCCAGATCCCTGGAGCTCGCTGACGCAGTGAGAGGACGCTCCCACGCAGGCCGGTAAGCGAAGTGGCCTTACTGATGGTCTCTGGTGGCTATGGAGTGGAAGTCTGTCAGAAAGCTCAGCCACCAGGTAGCACCCACAGTCCGGCTCCCTGCTGTCTGTCCCAGCTTCCCGCCACTCTACTGTTCTAGGCCACTAGGGGCTCCTTATGTCGGTGTGCCTCCCCTCAAACTCCCTGTACAAATGACAGACCTGTGGGAGCCACTGGCAGCCCCTGGGCCCTGACTGTGTGCTTGGCAAGCTCATTTTACTTCTTTTTTCCTCTCTATAGAATTGGCTGTGAAAGGCCAGGGGCTGCCATCTGGGGACAGTGGGCACACTTACCAGAACGGCTGGAGCCGGACCATAGTCCCAGAGAGCTGGGGCAGGGGCCGTGCCCAATCTCCAGGGCTCCTGGGGTCACTGCTGACCTGGTAAGGGAAAGATTGGGGCTGGGTTGGCTGGGTGTATACTGTCAGCTCTGGTTTTGGCCCCAGTAAGAGCATAATCTTTTACTCCTGACTTAGGCTGGATGCATCGGGCAGTGGACCCTCCAGGGGCCCGCACTGCACGGGAAGCCTTTGCCCTTGGGGGCCTGAGCTGTGCTGGGGCTTGGAGCTCCTGCCCTCCCCATCCTCCACCTCGTAGTGCATGGCTGCCTGGAGGCAGGTGAGAACTTGGGCCATGTTTCCCTGTCTCCAGGCACTCCTCTCCCCATCTATCTCTTTCATCTCTGTCATTCCCCATGGGTTTCTGCTTTTCTGTGGGCCTCAGTAGCATTTTCACCTGTTCTTACTCCTTTAGTCTCTCGGTCCCAGGAGTAAGACTGTTCCTTTTTGCTGTACATAACAGACTCTTTTTTCTCTCCAGATGCTCAACCAGCATTGGGCAGCCCCCACTCCCTGCTCCCTTACCCCCTTCACATGGCAGTAGCTCTGGGCACCCCACCAAACCATATTATGCTTCAGGGTAAGTGGGGGATTCAAAGGTTCTGGGATGAGAGGTAAGGCTGGGGCTTTCAAAAAGTTTCCCAAACCTGACTCCTCCAACGCTTTCTACTGTGTAGGACGCCCACCCCAAGACCCCTCCATGGGAAGTTGGAATCCCTGCATGGCTGTGTGCAGGCATTGCTCCGGGAGCCGGCACAGCCAGGGCTGTGGGAACAGCTTGGACAGTTGTATGAGTCAGAGCATGACAGTGAGGAGGCCATACGCTGCTACCACAGCGCCCTTCGATACGGAGGAAGCTTTGCTGAGCTGGGGCCCCGCGTTGGCCGACTGCAGCAGGTGGGATGTGGTAGGATATAGGGGGCTAGGACTATGCCTTATGGCTCAGTGCTCCCATCTTATGTCTTCATCTGCCCTTTGCCCACCCCCTACCCCAGGCTCAGCTCTGGAACTTTCATGCTGGCTCCTGCCAGCACCGAGCCAAGGTCCTGCCTCCCCTGGAACAAGTGTGGAACTTGCTACATCTTGAGGTGAGTCTGGACTAATTGAATTAGGGAGGGAGCCAGGCTAGGCCTGCAGCCATGTCATTTTCTTCTCTTCTTTTTGTCCTCAGCACAAGCGGAACTATGGGGCTAAGCGAGGGGGTCCCCCGGTGAAGCGAGCTGCTGAACCCCCAATGGTTCAGCCTATGCCTCCGGCAGTACTCTCAGTCCCCTCGGGTGAGGAGGGCCTCAGCCCGGGAGGCAAGCGCAGGAGAGGCTGCAGCTCTGAGCAGGTAACAGTTGTAGGTGAGCCAACAGGCAGAGGATGCAGGTCCGGGGCAAGCTGTGGGATTATCACACCCTCTTCTCTTCCAGACTGGCCTTCCCCCAGGGCTGCCACTCCCACCGCCTCCATTCCCACCGCCTCCGCCACCACCCTTGCCTGGCCTCCCTACCAGTCCCCCATTTCAGCTGACCAAGCCAGGACTGTGGAATACCCTGCATGGAGATGCCTGGGGCCCCGACCGCAAGGGTTCAGCACCCCCAGAGCGCCAGGTAAGCTTCTACTTACTGTCTCACCCTTACCATTTTTTTTTCTTGAGTCAGGGTCTCACTACCTTTGCTCAGGATGACTTTGAACTCTCAATCCTCCTGCCTCAGCCTCCTGAGTAGCAGGAATTATAGGAGTGCACCACCATGCCCAGCTTGTCTGTTACTTTTACCTGTAAGCTTTGTGCCTTTCATTCCTCACCTTGTGTCCTCATGTATCTTTCATAGGAGCAGCGGCACTCGCTGCCTCACCCATATCCATACCCAGCTCCAACCTACACTGCGCATCCCCCCAACCACCCCAGCCACCGGCTCGTCCCGGCCGCACCCCCAGGCTTGGGCCCCCGCCCCCCAGGAGCAGAGAGCCATGGCTGCCTGCCTGCCACCCGTCCCCCCGGAAGTGACCTTAGAGAGAGCAGAGTTCAGAGGTCGCGGATGGACTCCAGTGTTTCACCAGCAGCAACTACCACCTGCGTGCCTTATGCCCCTCCCCGGCCTCCTGGCCTCCCTGGCACCACCAGCAGCAGCAGCAGCAGCAGCAGCAGCAGCAGCAGCAGTACGGGTCTCCGGGGCATGGAACTGAGCCCAGTGAGTGATGGTGTTGGGTAGAGGGTGTGGTGAGGTATCACCAGAATTAGTCTGAGGTGACCTGAGCAGCATTCTGACCACCCTATCTTATACTTGCAGCCTGGCACGGACCATTACCAAACTCCCGCCCTGGAGGTGGCCCCCCATCACGGCCGCCTGGGGCCCTCCACACACAGCAGTCGGAAACCATTCTTGGGGGCTCCTGCTGCCACTGCTCACCTTTCCTTGCCACCTGGGTCCCCCTCACTTTCTCCACCCCCCTGTCCCCGCCTCTTACGCCCCCCGCCACCCCCTGCTTGGATGAAGGGCCCTGCCTGTCGGGCAGCCCGAGAGGATGGAGAGATCTTAGAGGAGCTCTTCTATGGGACTGAGGGATCCCCCCGGCCTCCTCCCCCACCACTCCCCCACCGCGAGGGCTTCTTGGGGCCTCCGGCCCCCCGCTTTTCTGTGGGCACTCAGGATTCGCATACCCCTCCCGCTCCCCCAACCACCAGCAGTAGCAGCAGCAGCAGCAACAATGGCAGCCACAGCAGTAGCCCTACTGGGCCTGTGCCCTTCCCCCCACCTCCTTATCTGGCAAGAAGTATGGACTCCCTTCCCCGGCCACCTAGCCCAACAATGAACCCCCAGGACCCTCCTCTTGCACCCCTAACTCTTGCCCTGCCTCCAGCCCCTCCCTCCTCCTGCCACCAAAATACCTCAGGAAGCTTCAGGCGCTCGGAGAGCCCCCGGCCCAGGGTCTCCTTCCCAAAGACCCCCGAGGTGGGGCCGGGGCCACCCCCAGGCCCCCTGAGTAAAGCTCCCCAGCCTGTGCCGCCTGGGGTAAGGGAGCTGCCTGCCCGAGGCCCTCGACTCTTTGATTTTCCCCCAACCCCGCTGGAGGACCAGTTTGAAGAGCCAGCTGAATTCAAGATCTTACCTGATGGGCTGGCTAACATCATGAAGATGCTGGATGAATCTATCCGAAAGGAGGAAGAGCAGCAGCAACAGGAGGCAGGCGTGGTTCCCCCGCCCCCACTGAAGGAGCCCTTTGCATCTCTACAGCCTCCATTTCCCAGTGACACAGCCCCAACCACCACTGCTGCTGCCACAGCTGTCACCACTACCACCACCACCACCCAGGAAGAGGAGAAGAAGCCACCACCACCAGCCCTACCGCCACCACCGCCTCTAGCCAAGTTCCCTCCACCTCCACAGCCACAGCCACCTCCACCCCCACCACCTCCACCAGCCAGCCCAGCCAGCCTGCTCAAATCCTTGGCCTCCGTACTGGAGGGGCAGAAGTACTGTTATCGTGGGACTGGAGCAGCTGTTTCCTCCCGGCCTGGGCCCTTGCCTGCCACTCAGTATTCCCCTGGTCCCCCATCAGGTGCTACCGCCCTCCCCCCTACTTCAGTGTCCCCTAGAACCCAGGGCTCCCCGCAGCCCTCTGCTTCCTCGTCATCTCAGTTCTCTACCTCAGGTGGGCCCTGGGCCCGGGAGCTCAGGGCAGGTGAAGAGCCAGCCCCAGGCCCTGCAACCCCCACTCAGCTGCCCCCACCCCTACCAACGCCCCTTGCTCGTTCTGAGTCTGAGGTGCTAGAAGAGATCAGTCGGGCTTGTGAGACCCTTGTAGAGCGGGTGGGCCGGAGTGCTGTTGACCTGGCAGACCCAGTGGACACAACAGACTCGGTGGATAGTGGGACTGAGCGGATACTGCCTCCTGCACTGGCCAAGGAGGAGAGTGGTGTGGTGGCCACAGGGCCCGGCAGTGGTAAGCGGCGGCAGAAGGAACACCAGAGGGAACACCGGCGGCACAGGCGGGCATGTAAGGACAGTGTAGGTCGCCGACCCCATGAGGGGAGAGCCAAGGCCAAGGCCAAAGCCCCCAAAGAAAAGAGCCGCAGGGTGCTAGGGAACCTGGACCTGCAGAGCGAGGAGATCCAGGGTCGGGAGAAGGCCCGTCCTGACCTAGGTGGGGCTTCCAAGGTCAAGCCACCCACAGCTCCAGCTCCTCCGCCAGCTCCTGCACCTTCTGCCCAGCCTGTGTCCCCAGCTGCCCCTGTCCCTGGGAAGAAGGCTCGAGAGGAAGCTCCAGGGCCCCCAGGTGTTAGCCGAGCTGACATGCTAAAGCTTCGCTCACTTAGTGAGGGGCCTCCCAAGGAGCTGAAGATTCGCCTCATCAAGGTAGAGAGTGGTGACAAGGAGACCTTTATCGCCTCTGAGGTGGAAGAGCGGAGACTGCGCATGGCAGACCTCACCATCAGCCACTGTGCTGCTGATGTTGTGCGTGCCAGCAAGTGAGTTGGGAGCTGTCATACCCAAGGCCACCCATTTGGTCCAGGGATGGGCTTCCCCGCATCACCTCAATGTTTGTCCTCATCCCACTGCCCTTCCACAGGAATGCCAAGGTGAAAGGAAAGTTTCGAGAGTCCTATCTTTCCCCTGCCCAGTCTGTGAAACCGAAGATCAACACTGAGGAGAAACTACCCCGGGAAAAACTCAACCCCCCTACGCCCAGCATCTATGTACGTGTGCCATCTGTCCTCAGAACCACGCCCTAGAGGGTTCTAAGGATGTTGGGTGATAAGGGTGCTCAAAGCCTAGGTCAAGGCTCTGATCCCAGCCTTTCCTGGTCATCTTTCAGCTTGAGAGCAAACGGGATGCCTTCTCGCCAGTGCTGCTGCAGTTCTGTACAGACCCTCGAAATCCCATCACAGTGATCCGCGGCCTGGCAGGTTCCTTGCGGCTCAGTGAGTATTGGGGGCAGAAACTATGGAGAGGACAATAAGGATCTGGGGTATATGGGACCTTCAAGAACCTTCCCACACTTGAAAACCTAGGACACTGACTGTAACAAGCTCCTTGCCTACTCAGTCACACACAGGCCATGATTGAGGAGTGCTCTGAGGGTTGGGTCACCTAGCTTTGGGCTTTTTTCCCATCTGTCATATCTGTCCCCAGTAGTGGGCTACTGGGAACAAGATGTATTTCAGGGCGTAGTTAAGAGTCACTTCTGGTTTTCTTGGTGATTAAGGATGAAAAGAACACAGATTATAGACAAACTCAAGAGTCCCAAGGTTTGGGCCTTTCTCCTCTTCAATTTTTTATTGTGCAATATTTCAAATAGTACAAATCTAGAGGAAACCATGTAGAAATATGAAGGTCAGCCAGTCTTGTTTCCTTTATACCTATATAGCTTCCTGTCTTCCTACTGAGTTATTTGAAGTACATTCCAGTCTTTCCCTTGAATGTATCTTCAATTGCGTCCAACAATAACTTAAAGCTGCCATTCATTGAGTACCTACTATGTACCAAGTGTTGTGCTTATGTGGCCACATGCATTCCTCATGCATGTGTCAACTCTGGTTGAGGGACTGAGGCCTAGAGTAACTGTGGGAGGAATGGAGCTGGGGAGGATGCAGACAGAAGCCAGCCCTCCTAGCCTCACAGGAGGCTGGGGTTCTTGCCCATTCTTGTGGGCTGAGTTCTGCCAAGCCTATATGTTCACTTATTCAGAGGCCTAGGCAGTAGGAAGGGAAAGGGTGAGTTGGGTCCTCAGTCCTGTCATCTGCCCAGACAGGACTGAACCCTGCTGTACCCTCCCTTTCAGACTTGGGCCTCTTTTCCACCAAGACCTTGGTGGAGGCAAGTGGTGAGCACACTGTGGAGGTGCGCACTCAGGTGCAGCAGCCCTCAGATGAGAATTGGGACCTGACGGGCACGAGACAGATCTGGCCCTGTGAGAGTTCCCGTTCCCACACTACCATTGCTAAGTACGCACAGTACCAGGCCTCATCCTTCCAGGAGTCACTGCAGGTAAGGGGCAAGCATGGGTGGAAATAGTTGCTGGGGTCCAGCTGCAGGGAGGGCTTCAGAAACGTCACTGACTCAGGCCTGCTTACCTCTCTGAGCAGGAGGAGAAAGAGAGTGAGGATGAGGAGTCAGAGGAGCCAGACAGCACCACAGGAACCTCTCCTAGGTATGGCACAGTTGTGTCTGGCCCTGCCTGACCCCTTCCTTCCCTGTGGTCTCCACAACCTGTCTGTGTTCTTGCTCCTGCAGCAGTGCACCAGACCCGAAGAACCATCACATCATCAAGTTTGGCACCAACATCGACCTGTCTGATGCCAAGCGGTCAGTGATGCTAAGGCAGCAAAGGTGGGGCAGGAATCCAGCTGGGCACTTGGTTAGGGGTACCCTCTCACTTTGGTCTCCTTCTCAAAGGTGGAAGCCCCAGCTACAAGAGCTGCTGAAACTGCCCGCCTTTATGCGGGTAACATCCACGGGCAATATGCTCAGCCATGTGGGCCACACCATCCTGGGCATGAACACAGTACAGCTGTACATGAAGGTTCCTGGCAGCAGAACGCCAGGTGAGCTCCCGACCCTCCCCACCCTGCTGAGAGTGCAGGAGAGGAGGAGGGGGTGGCAACACAGCCAGTGACGGCAAAGGGTAGGGGCAAAGGGTGAAGTTGTCACAGAGCTTTAACTCAGCTGACCTGTCATGTCCTTCTGTCTCCCCCTGCAGGCCACCAAGAGAACAACAATTTCTGCTCTGTCAACATCAACATTGGCCCAGGGGACTGCGAGTGGTTTGCAGTGCATGAACACTACTGGGAGACCATCAGCGCCTTCTGTGATCGGTGTGCACTGCCTCTTCCCTAATCCAGTCTCTGGGTCCCCAAGGTTCCCACCTGACCCTGACACTGGCTGCCCACCCCACAGGCATGGAGTGGACTACTTGACCGGCTCCTGGTGGCCAATCCTAGATGACCTCTATGCTTCCAATATTCCTGTGTACCGCTTTGTGCAGCGGCCTGGAGACCTGGTGTGGATTAATGCGGGGACTGTGCATTGGGTGCAAGCCACCGGCTGGTGCAACAACATTGCCTGGAACGTGGGGCCCCTCACCGGTGAGAGTGCTGTGCGGGGCTGGGGCATGGGCCCTGCTGGGGGAGAGAATGGGTAGGCTGTGAAGGAAGAAGCCAGGGCCCAGGTTACTGGGGGCTGTTTGAGAATCCTGTAGTGACTCCCTCTGGCCTGCAGCCTATCAGTACCAGCTGGCCCTGGAACGATATGAGTGGAACGAGGTGAAGAACGTCAAATCCATTGTACCCATGATTCACGTGTCCTGGAACGTGGCTCGCACGGTCAAAATCAGCGACCCCGACTTGTTCAAGATGATCAAGTGAGGGCCCTGTTTGGGTGGGAGCTCACCCGGGGGGAGGATGGGTTCCTGCCCTGTTCTCCCGGTTCTTCCTGGCTATGCCCCATACTTTACCTGTATTCCCATCCATGTCTGCCATGTGCTTAATAGCGTTACTGTGCTGGGGAGGCTAACAAACTCCCCTTTCTCAGGGCCAGACAAAACCACTTGAAATGTCAACTGTGGCAGATACCCAGGACAGAATGTGTGACCTAGGCATGAAAAGGGGAGGCCCTCTAGGGGAGGACTACTGGGAAGTGATTCTCTACCTCTGCTCCAGCCCTGCCCCATCTTCCTCTGCTGGCAGCCTTACCTCCACACCACCTCCTGGCTCCTCCCCAGGTTCTGCCTCCTGCAGTCTATGAAGCACTGCCAGGTGCAGCGGGAGAGCCTGGTGCGGGCAGGGAAGAAAATCGCTTACCAGGGCCGGGTCAAGGACGAGCCCGCGTACTACTGCAATGAGTGCGACGTAAGTGTGCCCACTCTTCCCCTGCCCTGGAAGTGCCCGCGGTGGCCCGTCCGTCCTCCTGGTGACTTCCCTTCCTCTGTGCCAGGTGGAAGTGTTCAACATCCTGTTCGTGACCAGTGAGAACGGCAGCCGCAACACGTACCTGGTGCACTGCGAGGGCTGCGCACGGCGCCGCAGCGCGGGCCTACAGGGCGTGGTGGTGCTGGAGCAGTACCGCACGGAGGAGCTGGCGCAGGCCTACGACGCCTTCACGCTGGTGAGTGCCGGCCAGGCCAGGGGCTCTGCGTGGTGTCCAGAGGAGGGGGGCTCCAGCCTGCTGAGCCCGCTGAGCCCCCATCTGCTTTCTCCCCGCAGGCCCCCGCCAGTACGTCGCGATGAGGCCGGACGCCCCGCCCGCCTTGCAGGGCGCCGCGGGGCCACCAGCACACGCCTGGGCTGGACCTAGGTCCCGCCTGTGGCCGGGAAGGGGGTCGGTCGGGCCCAGCCCTTCCACCCCATTGGCAGCTCCCCTCACTTAATTTATTAAGAAATTTTTTTTTAACAAATATGAGGAAAAAAAAGAAAAAAAAAGGGAGACGGGGGAGGGGGCTGGCAGCCCCTCGCCCACCAGCGCCTCCCCTCACCGACTTTGGCCTTTCTAGCAAGAGACACAAGGACCAGGCTCTGGCGGCGGCGGGGTCACATACGGGTTCCTCACGCCTGCCCGCCGCGCCCATGCTCGCGGCTCGTGTGTGTACATAGACCTTACGGCAGCCGAGGTTTTTAATGAGATTCTTTCTATGGGCTTTACCCCTCCCAGAACTTCCTTTTTTACTTCCAATGCTAGCTGTGACCCCTGTACATGTCTCTGTTTATTCACTTGATTATGATTTGTATTTTTGTTCTTTTTGGTTTTTAATTTATAACAGTCCCACTCACCTATTTATTCATTTTTGGGAAAACCCGACCTCCTGCACTCCCAAGCCATCCCACCCGCCCCCCTCGGGGACTGCCCGCCCCAGTGTGTGTCCGGTCCGTGTCCGTCCGTCCGGGCTCGGCCTGTCCGTCTCCGCCTGCTCCAGTCGGGCTCTCATGGTGCTCAAACCTGCTCCCCTCCCCTACGTCCGTCCTGCACTTTCTCGGACCAGTCCCCCAACTCCCATACCGACCCTAACCCCGCCTGAGGGTGAGCGACTCCTGTACTGTAGGGGAAGAAGTGGGAACTGAAATGGTATTTTGTAAAAAAAATAATAAAAATTAATAAAAAAATAAAATTTAAAAGTTTTAAAGAAAGAACTATGAGGAAAAAAGGAACCCTCTCCTTCCCAGCCCCGGCCAATTTAAAAAACATGGACCTTCACCCTCACCTCCTCCCCCTTTTTTTAGAAAAGCGTGAAGCAGCCCAGGGCCAGGGCCTCACTGGGGCAGAGACACCCCGGGGTGAATCTCTCTGGGGCTTTATTTTCATTTTTTTAGTTGGTTTTTCTCCCTGCTGGGGCTGCGGAGGGGTGGTGGGGGGGTTTACAGACCCGCCCCCTCGCACTGCACTGTCTCTCTGCCCCAGGGGCAGAGGGGTCTTCCCAACCTTACCCTATTTTCGGTGATTTTTGTGTGAAGATATTAATATTAAAAATAAAAGAAAAATCCTGTTTTGATAACGTGCTGGTGATGGCAGGGAAAGTACCGGGAGGAGGCTGCAAGGCGGTGATTGATGGGGAGGGACTTCGCAGACCCCGGTGAGGGCGAGGAGGCGCCTGTGGAATGTCCAGAGCTCCGGTCTCTTCTAGGGATGCGGTGCCTAATCCTAGAGCCGCATTCCAGGATAAGGGGGGTGGGGGGGTGGGGAGAGGCTGGGCCGGGGGAGGGGCAGGAAAGAAGGTTATAAGGGTTGTAGCACAGCCGGGCAGGCGCCAGCCAGGCCATGGCGGATGTATCTGGAGCACAGCGACCGGTTCTCGGAGGCGGCCCAGAGCCCCGGGATCCTCTAGATTGCTGGGCCTGTGCTGTGCTAGTAACAGCCCAGAACCTGCTGGTGGCAGCCTTCAATCTTCTTCTGCTGGCGCTAGTGCTGGGGACCATCTTGTTACCCGCTGTCACCATGCTGGGCTTCGGCTTCCTCTGCCACTCTCAGGTGAGTATGCGTCTCAGGGTGAGGTGATGCTGGTGGTGGGGCCTGTGGGTCACAGATTGTCCCTGCCTGGTTTGTTCCCATCCCGGGCACAGTGTGGTCCAGGGCTACTTGGGCCTGACGCCTCTTCTCCCACAGTTCCTACGCTCCCAGGCACCCCCTTGCACCGCGCACCTGCGAGACCCGGGCTTCACGGCCCTGCTGGTCACCGGATTCCTTCTCCTCGTGCCACTCCTCGTGCTTGCCCTGGCCAGCTACCGCCGCCTCTGCCTGCGCCTTCGCCTCGCTGACTGCCTCGTGCCGTACAGCCGAGCCCTCTATAGACGCCGGCGTGCCCCGCAGCCGAGGCAAGCCCGGGCCTCACCAGGTTCCCAAGCCGTTCCCACACCAGGAAAGGTCTGGGTCTGAGGAGCGTCGAGTCCATAACCCTGACAGCTGCCCTCCCTACCGGTCGGCCCAAGGACTTGAAGCCCAAGGGTTTTTTTTGCCCTGTCCCCACCCCTGCCTGAGCCGGGTCCTAGCATCTCTTTGGTGGAGCAGCAGCATCTGTGGACCCAATACTGGTGGAAATTCCCACACCCCAGAAAACCCACTTTAGTCTTACTATCTACATGTGAATACTGAACATCTGGGCTGGACCCTGCACACACCCTTCTCCCTTTCCTAACAGGAACAGAACTGAACCTTATGCCCTCCCTTTCTGGTGCAGCTCCTCTAGCATTTACGGGGCTGAGGTAGGGCTAGAGGGGAAGAAATGATCACACGTCAATAAAGAATTTATGAGCTGAATGCACTCTGTGAACGGGGGGGGGGGCACCAATACCATCATCACTGCCCATCCCAGGAGCAGGAAACGTGTTCCCGAGATTACAAAAGCACAGAGCAGAGCGTCCTGCAGCCACCTGGCCTTCCCTTATCGCAGTAGTCAGTTCTTCCTGGTCAGACCCCAGAGTTGTGTCCCTGACCCCAAAGTCACCTCCCGTCCCATCAATAGCGTGGAGAGGGCCTTTTGGTTTACCCTGACTCCCCTTGGGGACCCGAGCCCGTTCTCTGACCCTAGTTTAGAGGAACTCAGTGTTGCCAGGCCGGGGCGGGAAACAATGGGTCTTCCGGGGCAGGATTACACCCCCTTCCCGCCACAATTCTGAAGCAGCGGCGTAGGAGGGAAGATGCAGGGACCCACCCTAGGTCTTGCAGCTCAGCCTGGCCCCCATCCCCACCTTCGAACTTAGGGGAAGCTTTGGCACCTCTAGACATTAGGCTGGGGTAGGAGTATTGAGAATGCTCCTGGCCAGATAACCTTCTCCTCTAGGGGTGAAATGTGCTATCCCTGCCTTGGGCATCAGATCTACACACACAGACAGGCCACTTTAGTCACAGGTTTAATGTCTGCAAGAAATGAGTGGTCTGGGTCAGAGATACGGAGGCCCTGCCAGGCTCTCCCTTTGCACCTCAATAGAAACGATGTGATGTCCCGGTACCATGGCCAGGCCCAGCACACGGGGTTCCCCCGCAGAGAAGGAATCTGGAAAGAAGGGTCAGATCATAAGGGAGGCATGCCAGCGTCGGTCCCAGCCCGTTCTGAGCCACGAAAACAAGCCCTAGAAAACAAGGGGTGCAGTAACGCCCAGAGGGGAAATGCCTCGAGTGAGTTTCCGCCACATTCCCAAGCGGGTGTGCATTCCCCGGGCACTGACCCGACGGCTTGAGGAATTCCTGTGCAGAGCCCAGGATGACATTGCAGTCGCGGTCGGTGCAGAGGAAGCAGCCGACCAGTGTCCGCCCGTCTGTCATGCGAATGCGCATAGTCTTGTTGAGCAGCGCCTCCAGTTGCTGTCTGGCACGCGCAGCCGGCGAGTCTTCGCGCTCCCTGTCCGAGTCCTGCTAAGGGCAGGACACGCACTCACACCACGCATTCCCAGCTGCCCGCCCGCCTGCGGAACCACAGCTCCCGACAGCCCGCGGGGCACTGATACAAAGCCCAGAGGCTGCCGGGAGCTGCAGTTCTCTCTTCTGTCCCCCCATCTTGCTGCTCGACTGCCCCTCAATCCCGGCATCCAAGCCCACGCTAACCCCGGTGCTGGAGCTGCTTTGACGCCGACTGCAACAGCCATTCTCTTCTCGTAGCAGCATGGTCGGCCCAGCTCCGGCCATTTGACCCCGGAGCTCCTCTGGGCTCTTAAACTTCCTAAGAACCTTTTGGGACCGGTGGTCTGAGATCTCGCGATTGCTCCCAATCTCTTTCCTTTCGCGAGATCACCACTCCTCCTCCTCCGAGTCTCCGCGGCAATTGCGGAGATCTCGCGATTTCCTCCTTCAGTGCTGTGGCTGAGGCCTATTACGCTAGCTGTTTTAAGATATCGCGAGAAGTTTACCTGACATTTCTTTAATGTCTTTTAGAAACACCGAAATTTAGCGAGAATACCTTCTTCCTCATCTTATTTTTCCGCCTTTGGAGATAATTTGTCCTAAATATGCCGTACGGGATAGGCCTCTGAATTAAATCAGAGTTTGCTCTCCCGGAACTCACTTAATTACTCAACGATTATATGCCCGATGCTAGAATCAGACTACATTTCCCGTGAACAGGCGCAGCCCAAGCTCATCCCCTCCCACGCAATGTTTAAACTAGTGGACGGTGGCCGGAAGAGGACAATGGTTTCCATGTCAGCGCACAAACGCAGTCCTCTCAGCTCCCGGACCGGAGGGAACGTGTAGTAGCGAGTGTGCTGAGGACCGAGGAAGCAGCAAAGGGAGCCAGCAGTGCCCGTTAGAGCAGGAGCCATGCTGCGCCGGGGCCTAGTGGCTGGGCCAGACTTTGAGGGTTTCCAGCGTCGTTATTTCACGCCAGCGGAGGTGGCTGAACATAACAAGCCTGAAGATCTTTGGGTGTCTTACCTGGATTCCGTGTACGATCTAACGCCGCTGGCACAGGAGTACAAGGGTAAGGGTCACACGATGGGCTACGGCTGGTGTGTGTGTGTGTGTGTGTGTGTGTGTGTGTGTGTGTGTGTGTGTGTGTGTGTGTGTGTGTGTGTGTTGGGGGAGGGTGCCTAGATTGTGGGTGGCCGGCATTGACGACGGCTGCCCCTTCCTAGGGAACTTGCTGCTGAAACCCATCATGGAAGTTGCAGGCCAGGACATCAGCCACTGGTTTGATCCAAAGACCAGAGACGTGAGTTCTACTGGAACCTGGGGCTGGGCGGGGGATGGGGGGGGGTAGGGGAGGCTCTGGAGCGCGGGAATGGGGAGGAAAAGCGGGAATACCCAGAATCTGAAATAGTGACTGCTCCGACCCCTCTCCGCCAAACCCTGCCTTAAAGATTCGCAAGCACATAGATCCGCTGACTGGTTGCCTGAGGTACCGCATTCCGCGGGGCCGCTTCGTGCATGTCCCGCCACAGCTGCCTCGTTCCGACTGGGCCAATGATTTCGGAAAGCCCTGGTGGAAGGGGTCGAATTACGAGGTGGGGCGGCTGTCTGCTAAAACTCGAAACATCCGCATCATTAACACGCTCACATCGCAGGAGCACACACTGGAGGTGAGATCTGGTACCTGTGGACAGTTAAGACAGAGGGAACTGGGAATCCCAGCAGATCTCCAGGCCATTGGTTTTCTATGACCACTAAGAGCTGTATTTTCTCCCTTTTACATTGCGGTAATTGAGGAAAGCAGACCATCCAACTCCCCAGGGTTGGGAATGCTTGAAGAGTCTGGGTCAGCCTGGCGCCGGTGGTTCATGCCTCTAGTCCTAGCTGTTCAGGAGGCATAGATCAGTAGAATCGCGGTTCGAAGCCAGCCTGAGCAAATAGTTCTCGAGAACCTGCCTATCTCGAAAATATCCATCACAAAAAAAGGGCTGGTGGAGTGGCTCAAGGTGAAGGCCCTGAGTTCAAGCCCCAGTCAAAAAAAAAAAGTGTCACAGCTGCCCAGGGCAGTCTCTCAGTAATGTTGGAAGCTCTTACACGCTGTTGGGGGTCAGCAGTTGGACTCTTGGTCTACTGCATTGCAAGGCTGAAGTAAGGAGACCACTGGCTTTAACTCTGGGGGCTATCATAGCCAGGCAACAGTGGCTGAGGCCTGTAATCCTAGCTACTCTGGAGGCAGAGATCAGGAGGATCGCAGTTTAAAGCCAGCACTGGGCAAATAGTTCGTGAGACCCTATTTTGAAAAAACCCATCACAAAAAAGCTGGTGGAGTGGCTCCAGTGTTAAGAGCACCTGCCTAGCAAGTGAGGCCCTGATTTCAAACTCCAGTGCCACCAGAAGGACTTTAGCTCCTTTATTGTATGCTGGAGCTTCATTTTTTTCTGGGTCTGTGGAGTGCCTGAAGCTGCAATTTACCAAAGGAGGTATTCTGATCCCAGCTCTGCCATACCTTGGGCTACTGGCCTTTGCTGAGTATGTGTGTTACATTCAGAATTCTAGAGGTAGGGTACTTCTGTGTTCTCCAGGTGGGGGCTCTGGAGTCAATGTGGGAAATCCTACACCGCTATCTCCCCTATAATGCACATGCTGCCAGCTATACGTGGAAGTATGAAGGGAAGAACCTGAACATGGATTATACCCTGGAAGAGAATGGGATCCGGGATGAGGAGGAAGAATTTGACTATCTCAATATGGACAGTGCACTCCATATACCTGCAATACTGCTCTATTTCAATGATGACCTCACAGAGCTATAGGAAAGGAGATGTATGCACATGTAGACTCAAGACACATTTTGAATTGTTTTTTTTTTTTCCCTATGCTTTGAGGAAAAGAGGTGGGAGTATGTGGTGCCTGGACCTAGACCTCCATTCCCTTCTTGGGAACTGGTCTTTGGTTCCCATGCCCTTCTGAAGCATAAGGGTTTTATGACCCATCTCCTTTATGATTTGCTCTGACAAAATTAGGGAGAATGCTAGAAGTAAATTAATTAATCTTTAGGAATGATATCAGGAGACATATATCTTGGATTAGGGAGAGGTAGAGGAGGAGGAGGCAGAGTTTAGGCAGATCTTCTGGACAAAGAGATACACAGGGTTGAGGGATGGAAGAACATTTTTGGCAATGATAGAAATGGATGATTATAGGAAGATGGGATTTCCAAAGGCAGGAATAGGAAATAACTATTATTGACCATACAAAACCTGCTATCTCCCTTCTAGAAAAGTATTTAGCTGCTGAAATCCAAGGGAAAGAAAGGAAGTGAATCATTATCAAATAATTCAGGCTAAATATTATGCTGGGTGCTTTATACCCTCTCTTTATTTCAGCTACCCAGTAAAGTGAATACCATTAGTACTATTTCAGAGATAAGCCCTTTGAAACTTAGAAAGGTTCAGTAGCATTAGTAACCTTAAGAGCAAGATATAAATCCAAGCCTGCCCAACTCCAAAAACCATATTCTTTTCAGTGTAAACACTTTCTCAGTGTCTAACCTCATGCTAACATTTGTAATGGCTGTTCTTAGAACAAATATATGTAATGTGGGTTTGTCTTAGGCTTGTTGCACAATGGAAAACTGTAGGCCTATTGTGTAGTCAGCAGTTACTGTGTTAAAAGGGAGTTAATTAGCAGCTACTCCAAGGTCAAAGAGGAGGCCAGGGAAGGCTATCAGCCCAGCAATAGCTATTGAGGCTGCTTCCTTGTTAATTTCATAGCAAGAATTATCTTCTCACTTTTTTGAGGCAAAGAAGTAGATATTTTCTGTCTCCAGGAAAAACTAGAGTAGGGAAAAGCCTTGTGGATTGAGACAATTTGGGTGAAATACCAAAAAAGGGACATTGTTTTAAAGTAGGCCTTGCCACTTAGAGAAGGTGGGAAAGATAGGGTTGACTTTATAAGATGGTGACTTAAAAGAGGAGGCTTGATGAAGGTCATAGAAAAAGAGGAGCTAAGTAAGGCAGAAAAACAACCATCATGGGTGGTAGCTAGTTTTGGTCCCTTTTAATCTTAGCAATGGAGAGGAGAAGAATTGAAAATAACCAACAGATGAACTTCCTGGAATCTGTAGTCATGGAGAGGTTAGTGTATCTTCCTTGCTGGGGACAGCCCAGAGGAAGGTGGCCCCCAGGAGACACCAGATGAGTTGCATAGTTTTCTTTGTTTTTTGCTGTACTGGGGCTTGAACTCAGGGCCTTGACCTTGAGTCACTCCACCAGCCCTTTTTCTGTGATGGGTTTTTTGAGATAGGGTCTCACGGACTGTTTGCTTGGGCTGGCTTTGAACCTTGATCCTCCTGATCTCTGCCTCTTGAATAGCTAGGATTACTGTGGGAGCCCAGCTGCATGGGAGTTTTCTGAGTGACTATGGGAAGCATGAACAAAGGTCAGTGTATCTTTATTGGCTTTAGTAGTTTCTAAAGGTTGAGGCCTTCTATCTAGTCCCATGGAATCATCTTGTCCTATGAATTATCTGGATTTATCATTTGGATGGTTAGTCAGCTCAGCAATGATTTCATGTGTATTTTGTTTGCTCAACTAAACCCTAAACCATTTGAGAACCAGAGCTATGCTGTTCCTGTTGTGCCAGCCTCAGGGCCTTTGCCTATGGGATGTACTCATTTTGCCCAAACTTGTCCCTCTTCCAGAGTATCGTACTTCAGGACCTCTTGTCAGAAGCATACTACTCCTTTCCTCATATACCCAGACACAAAACAAGTCGATTCTGTTTCTGGAATCCATCTTGTTTTCTCCAAGTAACTATCACTTCTTGTCTAGACTGCTGGGGAAATTTCCTAACTGGCTTCCCATTTCTGCTTCTGCCCTCCACACATTGCAGTCAGATTGAGCTCTGAAGAACAAATCTAAAAGTCTTACTTCCTCAGATTCTTTAATGGCTTTTATTTGCTTTTGGAATAAAACTCTAAATTCAAAGACTCTGCATAAAGCAGGCCCTGCCTTCCTTGCACATCTCATTTCACAACACCCAGATATCCTGGATGGCGTTCAATTCACGTCTTCTTGCCTCATAGTCTTCACAAGTATTCTTCTCTCTGCTCACCACACTCTTCCTCCCACTTTGCACCTGGTTGATCCTAAATGTTTCTTCCTCAGAGCGGTCTTTTCTGATTTCTAGGCATAGGCCAACACTTTCTATTACGTCTCAGCACCGTGCATATTTCAGTGTTCTTATTTACTATTGTAAAATTATGGATGTAATTGTCTGGCTAGATGCTAAATTGTAAGCTCCTGAGGGTAGAAATCTTGTTTGTTGCTGTATTTCCACTGCTGGGCACACAGTTGTTGCTCAATAAATTTTGATTGAAAGAACTTATATTGAGGGACTTATCTGTCTGTAATAACTAGTGGATGGGATGTTGTGTCCTGGGAGGCAAGGGAGGGCCAAGAGATAGGATGTCTGGCTCCTGTGCTACAATTTCTACCCACAAGTTTCTCTTTCCCTGCTTCCTGTAGATCCAAGCCCCCCCCCCAAAAAAAAAGTTTCTTCACCAGAGATGTTTGGGGACAATCCATCTGTGGTTTCCCCATATGGCCACCAGGTGGCCATAAGGGCCTACATAGTCAGGGAGAGGAGCCAAAGGAGGGGAACCCAAGTTCCAAAGAAGTTAGGATTGAAGGTGGCACTTTTGCATTTATTGAGGGCGGGAGGGGGGGAATCAGAAAAATAGGAAAAGCCACATGATCACCATTCTAGTAACATTAGATTTATTCCTGCTTTTAATTTTTTCCACAAGCCCATGTCAAAAAATGAATGCAGTTTGAGACGTCACTCTCTCATTATAGGATGAGTTAGGGGTCCTGATTACAGGGGTGGGTAAGGCTCATTGGTACATACAGCGCTTGTGCCTACAAATGCACAAAGCCCTGGGTTTGATCCCCAGCACTGGGGGAATTAAAAAAAAAAAAGCAGCAAACACCCTTAGGAGGAGTAGAAGGAAGGACTGAATGCATCACAAATTTTTAAGATAATAGAGTGCATTTGTTTATTAATAATTTATTTATTTGTAAAAAGCTTTCCACTAGGCACTATTTTGTTCTCTAAATATCTAAGAGTAAATATTTTCATGAGGAGTATGTAAATAATGTCTCAACCTAAAACCGAGAAAGTAAATTGACAGTTGGGTGCTGATGGCTCACGCCTAAAATCCTAGCTACTCAGAGGCAGAGATCAGGAGGAACACGGTTTGAAACCAGCCTAGGCAAATAGTTGTAGAGACTGTATCTCAAAAAACCCTTCAAAAAAAGGGCTGGTGGAGTGGCTTAAGGCCTAGTACTGAAAGGAAAGAAAAGGAAGGAAAGGGGAGGGAGGGAGGGGGGAAGGGGGGAGGGAGGAAGGAAGGAAGGAAGGAATTAAATAGACCGTGAGTGTAGGGTCCAAGTCCTCTTGTGTGATTGATCTATGTTGTGCTGGAAGGAGATGGGGCAGAGGATGGAAAGCTGAAAGCTGCTTGTGCTTAGTAAGCCATAGCAGCTTCAAAGAACTCAATTGGCAAATGGTCCCTACATACATACATCTCTGGAGGTAATAAAGAAGTGAATGTTCCTTGCACATAGCCTACCCACTCATTGAGATAAAACATACACACATGAAAACAGACATAATAGAGAACCAAATTATAGTATAGGAAAAGTTTCCACCCTCAGGAAAAATCACTTAGACATCCTAAAACTGTTTCTATGTACTGTGTGTGTGTGTTTGTGTGTGTTATTTTGGAGGAAAGTACTATAATTTCCATCAGATTCTCAAAAGTATACCAATCCCTACACAAATAATAATAAAAGAGCTTCAGAAATAAATTATCAAAAATGACAATACAAAGTGGATCCAGGAATCCTGGCCCCTATCTCAGTGGTCTGACTCAAACTGTGTCATACCTGTTGTCTTCTCATGGCAGAATTCCTAAAACTTTAACCTTTGAGACTAACTTAATGACTAGTCTGAAGTGTTTTACTACTGTCCCAAATTTTGATCTGGTTGTGCCTTGGAGCTGGGCTTGGGACTATATAACACCCAATCATGACATTTGGATGCAAGGTTAATGCATCCAAACCCACAGCTGAGTTTGGAGAGAGCACATAGATGTGTTGATATTGGGAGAACAGCAACAGCGTGGGTTTAATTGTAAGAAAACACACAGAATTTGAAACCTGAATGATCCTTATCTTGGAAATCAAAAATGAAGTGTTCAAAAATCCAAATAAATATGCAGGCAAATCATTGGGTATTGTAGGCACATGGGAAGCAGTAAGGAAAGTTGATATGTGAATAAGTGAAGTGAGATCATTATAGTGGAGATGGGGGTGAAGAAGAGTAAGATGAGAGACAAGATGATAGAGGGGTGAAGAAGAGTAGGATGAGAAATAAGATGATAGAGAGACTGATGGAATGAAATCTCCCTGACTAGGAGCAGCTCTGCTACTGCCCTTTGGAAAATACTGTTTAGTGGGGCTGTCATTCACCTTCAGTTATCTGACTAAATCATCTCTGTATCATGCCTGGTATATAATGGCAATAAATAAATGCTTGTTTTAGGAATAAGTGGTGCATATAACTTCCACTTTGAAATCTATGAGAACTCAAGAGCCAAAGGGATTCAGATAAAGTGGTGTCCCTTGGTACCACTACTTGAAGAGATCTGGATAGTGAGTGATATCTAGACATCCTTAGCACACCTCTGACTAGGTGTCATGGGTTACATAGTAACCCTTAGCTGCAAGGGAGTATGGGACAGTGAGTATTTTA